TTCTAGTAACAAGTGCCTTACTAGTAGTAACAAGGACGCTACTAGGGTCTGAAGATTCGATCGTTGTGCTCTCCGCTCAGCGCGTGGGCTTGCACATTTCTCCAGCCGCAGCCCTGTCCGACAAGGGAAAAGTCAGCGGTGAGCAGTTTTGCTGACACAAAGAATCGATCTAACCACTCCCGTGCTTACTGTTTCTTTGTGAAAGGATTTGCAATTGCTGTCCTGTGCTGTCTAAGCTGAGGTCTCCCAAGGGCTGAAGCCCCGGCCAAGGCGCATGGGGGACAAGGTGCGGCCGGTGGGCTTGCTGGCTTTTGCGTGCAGATCGGTGTTTTGTTTTGTTTTTCTTTCCACTTGTTCAGTTTTGTTGTTTATTACTATTTATGCTTCTTGATTGTTATTTATAACGAATGACAATAACAACTATGATCAAATTATGTTTTTTGTATTTTCATTCTTCTTTGGATGCGGATCGCTGCTTTTTTGGTCCGCCAGATGGAGAAGGTCGATTCCACTGGTGCTCCGCGAAGGCATGGCGCTCCACATCGTGGGATTTGGGGGGGGGGCCTGGGGTGCATCGATGGTGTCTTCGGTCTCGGTCATTCCAAGAGTTGGGCCGTTGGTCTGAGTCGCCCGCTCCTAGTAGCGTCCTTGCTCCTAGTAGCGATGCCCTTTGCTACTAGTAGCTTCTTGTTACTACTAGTAATGCCAGGAGCCCCTAGTAGCGTCCTTGCTCCTACGAGAATGATGCGAATGGCCCGTTCTTTCAAGCGGACGCCAAACGGACGCGGTTTGACTCGTCCGGTCGCCCGTCGAGTTCGTCAGGAGGGTCGCACCAATTTCATCTCTCTCATCTGACCAGAGCCTTGGTAACACTTGTGGCAGAGCCACGGGAGCAGGTTCTCGCGGGGGAGACGTATTTAAACACCAGTTAGGCAAATTCTGCTGTCACATCTCACCTGGAAACTATTGTTTGAGCTTGTTGCAGCTTTTTGTGATCTCACTTCTGAACAGTAATTTCCCGCTCTGCGAATTCATCACTTTGCAGATGTTCCGATGCTGGTGCCAGCACGGTCCGCCCACACCCAGGAACACGCCCAAGAACGGCTCACGGGGAGGGCGGAGCGGTAGCAACTCTGAAGCTCCTTCAGGTGCGACCGACGATCGACATCCCGGACGGACGTGATCGGTGACGATCCACCACCCGACGATCCACCGGGAGTGGGAGGGATCAGGGAGGGTTCTCAGAAAGCGATGTTGGTGAAGTTTCACGTGTTGTTTTTCCTCCTTCATTTGGTGGCGTAACTTCTTCATCCTCGTGTGAGTGACATGGATTCAGGTAAGACTCGCTACACTCTTCTCCAAAACGGAGGTCTTTTTCATCGTTATCTTCGTCGTTTTTCCGAGCTCTTTTTGCTTCAGGAGTTCAGATTTGGAACCTGGTGTATACAAAGCTAGTAGTAACAAGTGCATCGCTACTAGTAACAAGTGCCTTACTAGTAGTAACAAGAAGCTATTAGAAACATTCTTCTGTTTGCGAATGACTCGCCAGGCCCAGCTTCTAGTGCTGGGACACCATGCTTCGGAGGCGAGGCGGTCATCTTCTTTGTGCGACCCAGTCGATGTCGCTCATGGAGGAGCAAAAGGCATCGCTACAAGGAGCAAGGACGCTACTAGGGGATCCTGGCCTTACTACTAGTAGCAAATAGCTACTAGTAACAAAAAGACGAATTGTAAAGCTTTTAGTTAAGTTTCCTTACTAGTACCAAGGGCATCGCTACTAGTAACAAGGGCATCGCTATTAGTTAAGTTCTACTTGAACATCTAGGAACCAAATCATTAGTGCGTGAGTTATCCTGCATCCTAGCTAGAAGCTAACTTAGCCTAGTAGCTCTTTTCTTCCTCTACTTGATTAAGTAGGGAGGCGGGGCCAACCGGTCTTTTTAGAAAGAGTCAACAGAGTGAGCTTCGTCCACCGATGCACCCCGAGTTTTCCATGCATCGCCGTGCGCCAGCGCACAAGCGACGGATGCCATGCGCAGGTCTTTCAGGAATTGAAGAGCAAGAGCTTGAGGACACCTGCTAACAAGTACCGGGATGCTTGCGAAAGTGGTAGATTTTGCTGGGTTTCCGGCTGCCCTTGGCCTGCTCTTGAATTGGTTGTTGAAAGAATGCTTGTTTGCTGCCGCTGTTGTTCTTTTCACTCTCGTTTGTCCCACCAAGTGAGTTCCAGAAGTTGCTTGTTTATGGAGCTTCAATCGCTCCTCTCGCACGCATTTTCGAAAGGCAAGACACTGAGAGGACATTTGGCTTTTTCCATAAAGAGAATGAGGCTTAATGTCGACAACGCATTTGAACCTGAAGAGAAAGAGAACAAGCTCAAAGTCTAGGGGTTCTTCAACCGTCTATATCAAAGTAATAGCCGCCCAAGAATTAGTTGACACACGGACTCTTTTTCATTTTTGAGACTTGACTAATGGAAAGCCGACTGCCCCAGAATGCGCGAAGAACTGATGGAGTACCATGAAATGATGCAAAGGTCCAATGAATCTCAAGAACCACAATCATTTGGATGGTGGTTAAAGTAAGTTGGGGGCCATCGCTATTAGGAGCAAGGACGCTACTAGGGGCTCCTGGCCTTACTACTAGGAGCAAGAAGCTACTAGGAACAAAGGGCATCGCTACTAGGAGCAAGGACGCTAGTAGGAACAAGTGCATCGCTTCTAGTAACAAGTGCCTTACTAGTAGTAACAAGGCCGCTACTAGGGGCTCCTGGCATCGCTACTAGGAACAAGAAGCTACTAGGAGCAAGGACGCTACAAACGGGGCTCCTGGTTAAAAGAACAGAACATCCCCATGTTGCCGCCCTCCTTACGGCGGATCCAACGCCTGGCACGGCTGCCCATCCAACGTGTGGCCATCCGTCAACTCTTGGAAAGATCAGCCTCGGTGTGCCCTGGTGGCATGAAGCGTTCAAAAAATCAAAGACATTTTCCAAGAAGCTACTAGGAACAAAGACTTTTTCCATGTCATTGAGTCGTACAGAACAATATGTTTACATGTTGTTTCTTTTTTTCCATGGACATTCGAACAGGGTAGCCGTGCACCAAAATCATAGGCTGGAGTCTCGAGTTGTTCCATCATTCAGGGTGTCATCGACGACTCGGTCGAATTTCTGAGCGCCCGCGGACGGTCGACTCGGTGGTCAATTTTTCATCCTTGTTCATTGAGAAGGTGCAGGCACAGATCTCGTGTCAAAAACTTGTAGGAGCAAGAAGCTACTAGTAGCTCCTGGCATTACTACTTGTAACAAGAAGCTACTAGTAACAAAGGGCATCGCTACTAGGAACCAGCAAGCTACTATCATTTTGTGGAACCTGAAGCACCCTAAAGGTCGAAGGTCGACGCCGTGCGACCCTTGTTGACGTCATGCGGCGCGATCGCGTTCGTGACCGAGGTCAGAAGAACACCATGTCCAACATGCTCGATGGATCCAAGAGGAGATGCCTGTGCGACTGGCACATCGGCTTTCGGATTTCCTGCAGCTGCCCTTCGTCATCGTGTGCAACGCTCGCTTCCACGAGGCCAAAAGGATTCCACACGACAGGAACCAAGTCATTTCCGTCCTAGTAGCTAGGAGCTTGTTTAGCGCCTGCTTAGGAGCGTCCACTCCTTTAATTAAGTAGGCGCCTACTTGAGTAAGTGAGGCAGAGCCACGGGCAACAAAAACGCAAAGGGTGCAGGTGTGGAACTCGGGGTAAAAGGACAGGAAAGAAAAGAGGTGGGCACACTTCTTCGGTAACAAGAAGTTTGGTCAGAGACGGGGTCAGTGGAAGATCGGAGTTTTGGGTTCGTGCACTTTTGGGATGTCAATGGAAACCGGACATCCAAATGACATCCAACTAGACATTCATCCAAAGATGTGTAATGTGTGGACTACATCATCAAATCCATGACCTTTGGATTTATGCCCCATTTTGAACGAACACATGAGCATGCAGCAGGTCTTCCGTTTGTTTCTCCATGCCTTCGAGACGTTGGTGGAGTCTCCTCCAGCACTTTGGCAATCAATTGAAGGCCATTGCTAGGTGGGAGGCACACAGGGGGTGATAAGCGTTCCAGCTGACCTGCATGATTTCCATTATGAGGATGGGATTTGTCACCTAATAGCGATGACCTCCAACCCACTTGCGATGGCCTCCACACGGATGACGTGTTCATAAGGTGAAGGATGCCAAAGATGTGGAGGAGTTTGCCAAGATGCTCCGCAGCCTTGTGCGAGGGCATGACAACACAATCCACATGTTGCAGGAGTGCTCCCGGAATCGATGGCAAGAGTGTGGCAGGTGTAAGTCAACCTGAAAAACAAGAAGGCATTGACATTTCGCACAGTCACTTGAACACTACCGGCAATCTAAAGGCATTTTCATTGTCCATATTTAAAATCAGAACGACTTTGAGGGCTTTGAGTGACTATCCTTCAAGAAATCTACTGTAACCGTACATACTCTAGGTGAACATTCTTTGCCAAGATTGTCAGGAAGGCTATGCCGAGCTTCACGCACTCCTGGAGGCCATTTTTTCACAAGATCCGAGATCGGCATAGCCTGCGGATCTTCATGAGTTTCGCGAAGACTCCAAGACGAAAGAAAGACTTCCAGTGGGACGCTACTAGGGACTCCTGGCCTCGCTACTAGCAAGGACGCTACTAGAAGTTGTTTTTTCATGTTTTTCATGGTTTCAAGGATTTGGTGGAGCTGGAAGAGTTTCTGAATCAAACCTGCTTCACACGCATTGGCCACTCGGTGAGCATTGGAAAGATCTGCACGAATTTCTTGTCGGCTGAGGTTATGAGCCCTGGCGGTCATGTTCCGATTTCTGTCATACTTTGAGGATATCCAGCTAGATTGTGTTAATGCCCGAATCATGGTTTTGGCCCATATATATAATAGTTCTTTTTCTTTGTTTATCTCACCCTAATGTTTTGATCACATCACATGTCCTGTTTTGATTTTCGCGCTGCAATTAGCTTGATAGCTTGTGATTTCTATAGGTCTTGTTCTTCTGGCCCAAGACTCCTCCCATCTATGTGGCCGACTGTGTTGAGCTGTTTTGCTATTCTCATCCAGAAACCCAAGATCCTTTGCTCTCTCAAGTCTTAAGTGATACTTGCATTGCCCAATATAGCTGTGGGTTAAAACCCAAAGACCCATAAATTAACCTTCCAGGTAACCCCTTTCAGACCTGGTACCATTGTTGTACCAAGGGATGTATGAGAGCCCAACGAAAAATGTGCGCGCAAGTCGTGTTACCAGGTGTCCCGGTTTTGACCCAAACGGCATGAAGGTCTTTTGCCATTGTTTTGCACTTGAGGTTTTGTGACCAAGATCCAACTTGTGGAGGAACTCCGAACTCATGTTGAGAACTGAGGCAACCGTGTTCTTGCAGAACACTTCCTGGCTGTACATGAAGCACGGAGCTCAGGACTTGCGACCCAAAAAACTTCTGGTTTGTCCGTTGTTGAAACCATTTTGTTTTGGGAAGTAACTATACCTAGAAGGTTCGAAAGTAGAAGCCACCAGTGGCCGTGTTAGAGGAGCAAACCAGACGTCCATGCAACCAACATCGCAATTTCAGATTCACTGGCCCCTTTGAGTCAAAACTTAAGTAAAAGCAATGGAAACTAATAGCGAAGGCCTCCAACCTCCATAGCAATGGCCTCCAACCTCCATAGCGATGGCCTCCAACCTAGTAGCGCGGCGTTGGCCTCCAACCTCCACAGCGATGGCCTCCAACCTTGTAGCGATGGCCTCCAACCTAGTAGCGATGGCCTCCAACCTAGTAGCGATGGCCTCCAACCTCCATGGCAATTGCCTCCAACCTCCATAGCAATGGCCTCCAACCTCCATAGCGATGGCCTCCAACCTCCATAGCGATGGCCTCCAACCTCCATAGCGATGGCCTCCAACCTAGTAGCAATGGCCTCCAACCTCCATAGAATTGGCCTCCAGCCTCCATAGCATTGGCCTCCAACCTCGATAGCAATGGCCTCGACCCTAGTAGGGATGGCCTCCAACAATAAGTTTCCCTCAATCATTAGTGCGAGCGTACTTGTAGCTAGTAGCTACCTAGCTCCCACTAGCTACCTCTAGCGGCCTACACCTCCCCCCCGCCCGGGCGCACGCGCGCGTTTCCACGCGCGCAAAAACACTGAAAATCTGGTGCCAGTTTCCACGAGGGCGTTCTGGGCGGGGATGCGCTTGGGAAGTTCAAAGCTGCGACTTCAGAGTTTTGCAGTCTAAGAAGCTACTAGGAACAAGTGCATCGCTTCTAGTAACAAGTGCCTTACTAGTAGTAACAAGAAGCTATTTGAAACAAGGGCATCGCTACTAGGAGCAAGGACGCTACAAACGGGGCTCCTGGCCTCGCTACGAACGGAGCATTCTTGCACCGGATCAGAGGAGCCACTCATGACTTTGTGGGGGTCGTTGATCCGAAGTGCTGCCCCAGCGCGGCTTGGTGCAAATCGTTGACTTTGTGTTTAATTCTAGTAGCGCCCACCTAATAGCGTCCTTGTTACTTGTAGCCCCTTCTGTTTGAGTTCCGGATCCATATGCACATTGTGCGCCTTGCGGTGGCCGTAGGCTTCATCCTGGATACTAGTAGTAATGCCCTTGTTACTAGTAGCGATGCCAGGAGCTACTAGTAGTGTCATTGCTCCTAGTAGCGATGCCCTTTGCTCCTACTAGCCTTTGTGACTGTGTCGCTTTTCTCCCGCTGTGCGTGATTCTTTTTTGGTCCTTTACGCCTTCACCCAGGAGTTGGTGTCCGAGCTCTCAGAGAGTCTGGGTGATTTGTGCGATGAGCTCTTTGGACGAAGGCCCAAGGTGCTCGCTCGGTGGTGGAACTGGTTTCGGGACCAAATGCGTGGTCCACCGAGTAGGCCTTTTAACCTAAGAGCGTGAGATGTTCTTTCTCCATCCCATAAGCAACAAATAGTAGCGTCCTTGCTCCTAGTAGCGATGCCAGGAGCCCCTAGTAGCTTCTTTCTCCATGGTCCTTTTGAGTGCCGCT